ACTGTAGGACGAGAGATCACTTGAGGATTTTGTTTGTAAAGGTATGTAATAGTGGCACACGTGTTGTTTTGATATTTGCTCGAGTGTAAGCATGTGTAATAGTTGGAAAGCCTTGTTGTATGACCTCCGACACTGTAGGACGAGAGAACGCTTGAGTATGGTGTAAATAATTGGTCCTAGTGTAAGTGTGTGTAAGATTTGGAAGACCTTGTGATCGCTTCGACACTGTAGGATGAGAGAACACTTGAGTATTTTGTACGTAAATGTATGTAATAGTGGTATGCGTGTTGTTTTACTGCCGTGTCTCTTTCGTGAACTTGTTTTAGGCCTCCGACAATACACGACAAGAAAGCACTTGAGTATGGTGTAAATATTTGTCCTAGTGTAAGCGTGTGTAAGAGTTGGAAGGACTTGTTGGGATCGCTTCGACACTGCAGGACGAGAGAATACTTGAGTAAATATTTGTCTGAGTGTATGTAGTGGTGGTATATATATTGTTTCAATATCGTGTGCCTCTTTGGTGAAATTGGTAAGCTTCGTGAGAATCTCTTCGACACTGCAGGATTCAAAAACACTTGTGTATGGTGTAAATATTTGCCCTACTGTAAGGGTATTTAATAGTTGGCAAGAATTTCATTTCTCTTCCCCACTACAGGCGGCAGAACACTTGACTATGGAGCTCGTGTAGATATTTGTCCTAGTGTAAATATATTTAATATTTAGTAAGCTTCTTTGCCTTCCCTTCGACACCGCAGGATTTGAGAACACTTATGGTGCTCGTGTAAATATTTGTCCAATTATAATTGTATGTAATAGTGGCACACGTGGTATTTAGGAGTCGTGTCTCTTTGGTGAAATTGGTAAGCTTCGTGGTATTGCGTTCGACACTGAAGTACGGAAGAATACTTGAGTATTTTGTATGTAAATGTATGTAATAGTGGCACACGTGTTGTTTTACTGTCGTGTCTCTTTCGTGAACTTGTTTTAGGCCTCCGACAATACATGACAAGAAAACACCTGAGTACGGCGTAAATATTTGTCCTAGTGTAAGTGTGTGTAAGAGTTATAAGGCCTTGCTGTGATCCCTTCGACACTGTAGGACAAGAGAACACTTGAGTAGGGTGTAAATATTTGTCCTAGTATATACGTGTGTAATAGTTGGTAGGACTCGTTGTATTCCCTCCTACAATGCAACGACGAGGGAACTGCGCATGGATCTCGTGTAAATAGATGTCCTAGAGTAAATGTATATATTAGTGACGCACATGTTGATTTACCGTCTTGTGTCTCTTTGGTGAAGCCTGGAAAACGCTGCTTTTCATACGAGAGCGTACGACTGATATCAAACAATAGCACAATTGATAAGATAAAAAGTAATATAGGTTCTTGTTTTAGCTCGTCCCCTCCCGTTCATTTGGATCCTCTGACTAGCAAAAGTCTTTTACAAAGCATTATATTTCTGTATTTATCTATTTATCTGTCTTGTCACTTATTTATTTATCTACTTTATTCATTCGCCTATTTATTCAATCATATACCTATCCATACATTTGTCTTGTCACTTATTTATTTATTCATTTCTTTATTCATTATCCTATTTTCTCAATCACATACCTATCCATACAATTATTTACTCATTCATTCATGTTGTTTTAGGACGATCACAGAATATGCGTCCATTTTTTTACGGCAATATACCCAAAAATGACAAAAATACTAATGACATAATGGCTAACCCCATTAGCACCGCCGTCGAGGGTAATCATTATAATGGATATGGTACCAAAACAGTGTATTTTCTGCTAATTACGATATTGGTTATTATGGTGACAGTAATGGTGATTTTGATAGTGATGATTGTGGAAATGATGCAGATGGCTTTAGGAATAATAATTAAAAAAAAATGCTAGTCATGATGCCAAAAGCGATAATAAGGATAATTTTAATAGTGTTGATAATAATGGTGATGATATTGTTGATAATGATGGTGATAATAATGATGAAGAAAATAATAGTAAAAATTATGATGGTGATAATAATAATCAGGATATTAATGATAACATCAATAAAAGTGACGATAATAATAAGGATGATGATGATAATAATGATGATACTAATAATACTAACAGCAACAACGATAAGGATGATAATAGTAATGCAAATAATAATAATGATAACAACAATAACAATAACAATAATGAAAATGATAACAATAAGTATAACAATCAATAACATCAATAATGATAATGATAATAATGACAATAATACAAACATATTGCAAATAACACTAATATAACAACAATGATAATAATAATACAAATACAATACAAACAACAATACCACAAATAACAATAACAACAATAATAACAATGCTAATAATGACAAAAACAATAACAACAGCATACATACAACGCCTAAAATGTTGGAACAGCCCCGGGATTCCTGTGGCATTTGGAATTAGATTTGAGGGCGTCGAGAGCGCCGGCGGGGCTGTCGGCCGATAAATTCTTGGTCTATTTACACTACGGGAGGGAGTGGGTTTCCTCTTGTGCATTTTACATACCGTGGGTTTGTCTTGTTGGGTTTTGATTTTTTTTTTATCTTTTTCTTTTTGTTTCTCCTTCTTTCTTCATGTTGTTCTTACTTATCTTTTTTTTTCTATTTCTCTTTTTCCTTCTACTTATCCTCCTCCTCCTTTTTTTTTCTTCGCATCCTCATCCTTCCCTTCCTCTTCCTCTTCCTTCTTCCCCTCCTCCTTCTTCTTCTTCTTCTTCTTCTCCTCTCCCTCCTCCTACTCCTCCCTCTCTTCCTCTTCCTTCTCCTCCTCTTTAATCACATTTTCCTCTCCTCTTCCTCCTTTTTTCCTTCTCCATGTCATTATCATCAAAAACAGCACCTTCTTTCCATCTTCTTCTCCTTCGTCTTCGTCCTGTTCTTGCCTTTCTATTTCCTTCTTGTTTTCTTTCCTTTCTTAACTGACAGTCATTTTAATATAAGAATGAGTTAATCCACGTCATAAAAATCGTAAATAAGACACAAGAGGAATCAGTGGGGAGTTTACCTCATGGTTTTAAAAAATGGCACATTATATTTTATCTAAATATTTCTCCGATATGTTATATATTATTTTTATTGACTGATTTTTTTTCTGAGATGGGTGCGATATATATCATTTTTTTTTCTGAGGTGGGTGCGATAAACATATTTTTTTTTTTATAATGGGTGCGATATATATCATAGTTTTTTTATTATTGTTTTTTCTGAGATGGGTGAGATATACATCATGTTTTTATTTATTGGTTTTTATTTTCTGAGATGGGTGCGATATATATCATAGTTTTTTATTTACTTATTTATTCATTTATTTTTTTATTACATATATATATATCATAGTTTTTTATTTATTGATTTTTTTTCCTATGGGTGTAATATATATCATATTTTTTTTATCTATTGATTTTTTTCTTCTGAGATAGGAGTAGGGAGTTGGTCAGTGATGCCAGACAGACTTATTTACGATAACTGCGACTGTTACCATGAATCCTCCTCGAAACACATACCCCACGCTGGTCGACCCGCATCACCGTAGCACGTGACGCAAATGGACAGGACGACCCACGGTGAAACGCCCCTGTGGATTCATCATGGGCGGGATCTGTGGCTCACGTCCCCGAGGGTCTTATGTGGCTCATCCCTCACGGCCTACTGAGGGCTGTGGGTTGCGGCCGCGCGTGTTGCCGAGGTATTGGCGCCGTTGTCATTGCTGGGGTCGTGTTGCACAGGGTGGTTCGGGGAAATATTTACGAGTGCGGAGGTACGGGGAGGGGAGTGGTGGGGGGGAAGGGTGGTGGTGGGGGAGGGGGTGAGGATGGGACGGGGGTTTGGGAAGGGAGAGATAGGGGGTGGAATGGGGGAAGGGGTGGGGGTAGGGGAGAAGGAGGAGGTAGGGGTGGGGGGAGAGGGAAGGGGGTGGAAATGGGGGAGGGGGGGTGGGGGGGAGGATGGACGGGGGTTTGGGAAGGGAGAGATAGGGGGAGGGGAGAAGGAGGAGGTAGGGAGGGGAAGGGGTAGGGGTGGGGGCAGAGAATAGGGGGGTCGAATGGGGGAAGGAGGTTGGGGGAGAGAGAAAGGAGAAGCGTAGGGATGGAAGAGATAGGGTGGAATGGGGGAAGGGGCGGGGGGAGGGGTGAAGATGGGGAGGAGGTAGGGACGGGAGAGATAGGGGGTCGAATGGGAAGGGTGGCGGGAGGGGAGAAGTAGGGGTAGGGAGTGAAGAGGGAAGGGTGGAATGGGAGTAAGGGAGGGGGGGAAGGGGTGATTTAGGTTCCTCGGGAAACTTCTGCTGGAGAGATACAGCTCCTTCTGATACAGTAACTGGAGGTCATAATGTTATTTATGGGTCGATGTCAGAAGAGATGGTATTTACGTGTAGTGTGGTCTTTCCTCCATCTTTCATATATATATATATATATATATATATATATATATATATATATATATATATATAATATATATATATATATATAATATATATGTATATGTGTGTGTGTGTGTGTGTGTGTGTGTGTGTGTGTGTGTGTGTGTGTGTGTGTGTGTGTGTGTGTGTGTGTGTGTCGGTGTGTTGTGTGTTGTGTGTGGTGATTGTGTGTGTGTGTGTTTGTGGTGTGTTGTGGTTGTATATGCGTATTGGTACAAATATTATCTATATCTATATGTACGTATATAATATGTATGTATGCCTATCTTTTTTTCAGTCACACTCATTATTATATAAAATAAGCCTGATGATATGATAATGATGTTATTGATGGCGATGATGACAATGATGATGGTGATAGTGATGATGATAATAGTGGTGTAGTGATGATGATGATTGCGGTGATGATGGTGATGATTAATGATGGTTGTAGTGATTATGATGATAATGATGACAATGGCAGTACATTGTGATGATGATAAGGAAGATGATGATGGTAGTGGTGATGGTGATAATTACAATA